GACCTTGTGGTTAGCATCCCAGTGCATAATCCACTACACCTCCAGGGCTCCTACCTACTACTAAAGAAGGAGTCCAGGAGATGAAACCCCTACCTAGGCATGGAGGCTGGCTCAGGGAGCCCTTAGAAGCTCAGTAGGGCTTATGTACAAAGTGTGTTTTAAAGAGTTCAAGAACATAAGCACCCAGAAGTAAAGTAAGGTCACACTAATGTACAACAATGACTTTTATTCTGAAGGGAAAGAGGAGCCAATAATAGTATTTAATAGGAAATAACATCATCAGGATCCCTGGTGGCATAGTAGTTACATGCAGGGTGTTACGTTCAAGGTCAGTCATTCGAAACCACCAGCTGCTCTACAGGAAAAGGACAAGGCTTTCTATTTACATAAAGAGCTATCATCTCAGAAACCCACAGGGCCAGTTGTCCCCTATCCTAGGATCACTAAAGGTCAGCATGGACTTGATGTCAATGAGTTCTTTGATTACATGGTCAGATTCGGTATTGAAGAACTACCTCTAGTACTTGGAGGCAAGCAGAAGGCCACTGCCAGAATCCTGGTAAAAAATGACTAGAGTCTGAACTAGGACACTGGCACTGGGTCTAAGAAGCAAGAGTGAATGTGTATGCTTTTGAAATAGAAGTGCATCTCTCATCGAGCAGAACAGTTCCTTTTCAACCTTAGCATTCAAACCTGGGATTTTAAGACATCTGAGCAAATCATTATATTTACGAACATTTTTACTCAACACGTGGAATATATGTTAGTCTCCTGTGTCAGATACTTACTCGGGTTGCTTTCTAATCATTTAAAATGTGCTAACAGAAGACTATAACTTTAGCAATTTTATGTGCTTTAGCATTCCAGTGAGTGTGCTAATTACTTCAAACTGTAGTTTGATAGGTTTCTTAAAAACAATAAAATTACACAAATATACTTTTTTCTTCATACACTGAAATAATAGTTCTTATATATATGATACCATCCATTTACCTAACTTTACAGATGTAGGAAGATCCTCATGAATCAGATTGATAGGAGTGAGTTTGGTATCCTTTTATCCTAGGTCCTGAAAGAAGTCAAATAGCTGATGGATGACTAGAAATACAGGATCATCACTCATGAGGAAATTGTACCCAGATCCATTGTCAATTGCAATTTGGACTCAGAGTGACCCAATAAAACAGATGCCTGCCCCACAAGGTTTCCATTTGTAACCTGTGTGGAAGTAGTCTTGCTCCTGCTGGGTTTTCACCCCTGATCTGTCCTTTCAGAGCTGAGTGCTTAACCACTGCACCACCAAGACTCCCTGAATGAATACTGGGTCTAACCAATAGGTGTACATTATAGTTCATTCATTTATTAGGAATCAATTTATTAAGAGCTGGGCACACTGAATACAAAGATCCATATATAAAAGAAAGAGCTCCCATATATTGGAAAGCTCAGGAAAAGATGTACTTGAAGATTATGTGTTTAGCAGTTACATAAGAGAGGGAAAGGCATTCCATACATAGGAAACAATAGAAACCCACTTATCTTGACATAGTTTCCTAATAGAGACCTTTAAGACAGAGTAGGACTGCTCACTGCAGTTTTTGAGACTGTAAATCTCAACAGCCTTCTCTTCTGCTACATATAGTGGCTTGGTGTGGCAGCCATAGACATGTGTCAGTCAGGTTAAGATAATCTATTGCAGAGAACACACCTGACAGGGCCTGCTGCTGTATTTTAGCTCCTGGGAGTCCAGGCTTCCCCCAAGGGCTGCTGAGTAAAGGCAGCCGATTCCGGCTCAATATAGGAATTCCCAAGTGAGCAACTTTTGCTGACCAACTTTTTCCCCATCTGTCTGCAGGCAGCTTTCTCAGAACCATGCTGCAGTGTGAAGCTCTTTCTGCCCAATCTGTCCTTCTGGCTCTCCTTTGCCAGGTGTCAGACTTGTATGGTGAGGGCTCTTCGTGCCAATTTTTCTTACTTCTTTCTTTATCCGTCACAAGAATTCTCTCAATAAATCTCATGTATGTTTTATCCCATTTTAGTATGTTTCTCAGAGGACTTTGTTTCTCAGAGTACTCAAACTGACACAAGACCATATGACCAACCAACATTCCAGAAGGATGTCAAGTAGGCCACTGGATGGCAGCTAGAGGAGTGATCATGCACAGGAGTCCCCGAATCTGGGATGAGGATGGACCTATGCCAAGGCAGTGGGCCCTCGGGAGGACTCCTTTATATTAGAACACACTGCGCAGTGTGCTAACAGCTGGAGAATGGCTGTTGGCAAGTGACAGGTAACATGGGATATTTAGATGAGGTTTTAAAGGACCTACATGATGATGTGGCAGTAAGAACCATGTACACTAGAGTCATCATTTTATTCTGTATATAAATAAGTGACATCCCATGATTCTTGGATCTTCACGCCAGTATCGAAATATGAGAACTGGGCCATGGGTTTGTACTCTTTCCAAAAGCAAAATGCTAAGTACAAAGAGTTAGGACAGGAAAAATCAATATCCTCCGTACTTGAGAACTGAGTGTTCTTCTAGTAGTGGAAGCCTTTCCAACAAAGTGCTCCAAGAACACACACTTAATCCCCTTAGCACTGTACTTAGGAACATATTTTTAAAGCTTTCATTAGCTGTTGATGATTGGGGTATGTGTTTGCTCATGTTGCAAAATATTTTAATACTAGTTCTCATGGTGCCAAAGGTTCTGCGTTGGGCTGCTACCCCCAAGGTCAGCATTTGGAATTGGCTGATCCTCTGGAGAAGGATGAGGGTTTCTCTAGACATTTGCGTCTTTGGAAACCCACAAGAGCAGTTACAGTCTGTCTTTTAGGGTCACGATGAGTCGTAACAGACGTGACGGCAATGAGTTTAGCTTGAGTTCTATCTTAACTTTGCCTTGCCTTTTTAAAAAACATTTTTTTGTGTTTTGGGTGAAGTTGTTCTATGACCTTGATTAATATCCCCACAATGGGTCAGCATGCTCCCATCCCCCCTGCCTTTCTTGTTTCCATCCATCCAGTTTCCCTGCCCCTCCTTGCCTTCCCATCTTTGCTTTGGGGCAATAGTTACCAGTTTGGTCTTATATACTTGATTGTTTGAAGAACAATTATGGGGTACATTGTTTGTTTTATTAATCAATTATTTGGCTAAAAGAGGACCTCTGGGAATAGCTTCATTTCCAGGTTAAAAGGGCATCTTAGAGTAAGAGACTCGTGGATCCCTCAGTACCTATCAGCCCAATAAGTCAGATTGTCTATGCTATACCTTGAACAGCTCCTATTTTTTTTGTAATTTGCCAAATTATTGGAAACCAAGAATCGTGAGTAACAGTAATGATAACGATGTAATTTTATTCATAAGCCACTCAGAAATTGCATCTTCATTCAAATAGTCTAAATGGCTGACTTTTCTAAGTGATAACTTTAAATGTTTAGGTTTGCAAAACTCACCACAGTGAAACCACTTATGTTTAATCCACATACGCTGCCAACACTGGGCATACACCCAGCTATCTTGGCCTAAATATATGCTCGCTCACCTAGGTAGAAGTCACCTGGTATGTCCTTACAAAATAAAAAAGGGGAAAGCAATTACAGTTCTTAGAAAAGATCCAAAATGTGTGTAGATATGAAAAAAATAAACCAGGGAAATTAAATATGTATTACAACTGTTCTATAAAAATAGGATAATACTCCTATATCAAAAGTGTTAGGTCTACAATCTTAGTTGTCAGGAACTGACTGTTAGAACAAGACGATAGCCCGTGGTCACCCTTCAGGTCTGGAAATGAACTTATCCCCATGACTCAATGTTCAGCCAGGAAATAGATAGCTCTAGAAAGTGAACAATAACACTAGTGAGGCATGAATACCTTAGAATAATAACCATTTGAGATCTGAAGGGCAGCATTTCCTCCAGGACAAACTTCAGAAGGGTTAGGAAAGAAAGGGGAATAGAAGCAGGAAGCACGGGGAGGAAGGGAGGTGGGTACATGATGCTTTGTTACATTGTGGGGATTGCAGTCAGTGGCATGAACCAAAATGTATAATACTGTTTTAATGGATAACTGATCTGCTCTGTAAAGCTTTACCTAATTCACAATATACCTTTTAATGTCAAGATAATGCAGGTCATTTTATTGTAGAGGCTATGCAATGTTGCCCTTGTTATTGAAAGCCAGTAAAAAGTGAAGTGTCTGGTGGTGCAAACAGTTAATATGCTCAGCTGCTAATCAAAAGGTTGGAGGTGCTAGTACACTCAGAGTAACTTTGGGGGGTGGGGGAGGGTGGGGAGGAAGGCCTGGTTCTCTATGTCTGAGAAGTCAGCCATTGGAACCCAGGGAGCATAGTTCTACTCCAACACACATGGAGTTTCCATGAGTCAAACTGGACTCAACTGCACCTGGTACAGCCAGACACAGTGACTCGCTCTCAAATAATTATACCGGAAGTAGAATTCAAACTTTAGGATTTTCTCATAGATAGAAGTCAAATTCTATTATGTATTTTCCTCTAAAACATCAGAGGATCATAAACAATGATAGATTTTATAATCCAAGTTCATCTTTCACCTAAACATTAGTGAAAACTTGTGGTTTTACAAAAACTATATCTCTTTTGCAGCCTTCCTATGTGAAATAAAGTAACTTAGAAATCACAATCTTGTGTCTAGTGCTTAGTACTTGGAAAACAAGGGCATCCCAGTTTTGCAGATCAAAATATAAAAACAATCTCTAAATAATTAATCAACCAAGTACACAATTTATTTCCTGTTAAATTTATCTCTAACATATCATAAGTAATTTAGGCATTATAGCAGTAGACATGAAATATTATTAAACATATTTTCAGATTAGCAAACACAGGACGAGTTATAAAACAGTTGATGAAACACCTAGCTCTATTTAAGACATGAATGAACACTAAGTAATTTTTCATTTTCTATTTTTTGTTGTGGAATTGGTCACTTCACATTAAAAAAAAATTTTACCTTTTTGATCACTTGGATCCATGAAGTGATGAATTGATGGATGACTATATTTTGATGTTTTCTTGAATATTTCTTCAAGACTAGGCAAATAATACATTAGAATATAAAAATTATTTAAAATTATCGCTTTAGTATAGTATACATACTAACCTTTGACATCAAATGTAACAAGTAAATTACACGAAAATAGTATCTATTAATAAATTGTGTGTTAAGAAAGACCATCTAAACATAATCTGTAGAATACAAATCTAAGCTAGAAACAAAGAATTTAGACTCAGAAGTTTTAGAAGCTACTAGGCAAACGTTCTTCACTTGGGACTACTTCGGTCGTCACCAAGAAAGATATCATCTTTTTATTGACCAGGGAGATAGCAATCATAAAATTTAGGAGGTAATTAAAAAATTGAAAATGAATGGATGTGGTTCAGAGTTGTGAAAGACATGCTATGAATCTAACACAAATTCTTCGGAGCAATCGAGGCAAAAACCAGTTGCTCCCATGGCTGCATCAGTAGCACGCCTGCAGTGTGAAATAGCCCACTGCCCCCACGTCTTCTGAGCAGCTTATACTGTAAAGGATTCACACAGTCATTACAAACATACATAAAACTGAAGAAATGAAGGTACCTTGTGCCACAAAAGTAGAGCATAGAATGTGAGTAAACTTAAATCTGTTACTAGTTAACCTTGGGAAAACCATGACTTGCTGTTTTACAACTTAATTTTGTATCGTATAATAAATAGTCATTAAATTACCATGAATAAAACACTCCTTTCTTCCAAGGATCTCAAACACTTTTTACAGCCACTACACTTTCCTTTACAGTATCCCTCAGTTAGTTAGAAAATTATTTTCCCTGTAGTTTACAAATGAGGAAAACAAGGGTTAAATCAAGTCAGAGCTCACAAACTAAACAACAGCAAAGGTGGTCAAACATCTTGTTTCCAATCTAGCATTTCTTCCATTAAATAAAGCAATCTTTTGTATACAGATCTGCCTGAAGCACAATATTTATGAACTGTTAAGACTGAACATACCTAAATGAGGCTGAGTTTCTAGAAGCTTAAAAAGTATCACCCACAACTTTTGTTTTCCGGATGAGGCGTCTAATTGTGCCTGAAATAATAGCAGTAAGGCAGCAGTTCACTACTGTACGCACTGGCAGCGAGTTCTCACAGAATGGATTAAGGATCCTGACAGCTGCAGCTTCAGAACTCTGGTTATAGAGCAGGATAGCTTTGGAACACCCATAAATAAGGAACTGACGAACAGAAAGGATTATTCCATGTAAGTGCTTCATAAGAACAGAGCAAAAGATAGTAGGTGAATATAAGCCAATCCTTCAAGTGAATGAAGACTATCTGGAGAGATAACCCATTGTTCAACTCTGATGCCAAGAGTTATTCTAAGACTCTCTGGCTAGGACGTGCTGTCAGATGAAGGCCGTGTATTTTTCATGTCACGTGCCTGGGTGTGAAAACAGTTTTTAGAATGGGACAACCACACTGGAGTGATTGAGACTGTGTGCAACATTGCTCTGGACCCAGGAATCCAATTAGGAGAATTCCTTCTCTGGACTGAATAGGAAGACTGGGGCTGTGTGTTTATCTGTGCACATGCACATGAGTATATATATGTGCATCTCAGAGTCTGTACACGTCAGTCTCTTTTGTCACTACAGAGCTCCCTAACACAAAGTTTTTGTAGGTTATAAAATCAAGAAACATGGAAAAATTAAACTTGGGAGTGTAAATACAGCTCCTCAGAAACGCTTTATATACCACTATTTCTGTAAGGTTGAATCAAGGTCATTATTAATGGGGGGGATCATTATTAAGAACAGGAGTAGGAGTCTAAAGCCTACTTTGAGTTCTCCTGTCAATAATTTGCTTATTTTAAGGCATTTACTTAGCATGTTTCCTGATTTGCTCATCTACAAAACAGGAATAGCATACTACATATTTGTGGGATTAATATTTTAGGTATAAAAAATTCTCAAGGAAGTTCAAAATCCTAGACAATGAAAAATGTTTTTCATAGGCAGCTCATTCAGGACACATAGTACTCCCTTGGAAAGCGAGAAACTATCATTTGCCAAATAAAAATCATCTGTCTTTCTCAAGGCATTGTTTAAAAGGTTATGCAATCCTCTGTGTGGAATTTCTTCGGGGACAATCCTTAAATCGATTATCTTAACCAACATCATGACAGTGATTCTTTCTGCTATATTGAACTTTTTAAAAAGTATAGAGACTTCTGCCTCCGGGCAGACTTTTCTTTTATTGAGAAGTAGAAAAGCAGATTTTTAAAGACACACACATACGCATCTGTTATGAAGACGTTAGTGAGCTGCCAAGGCAGCCAGAGTGCTGTGCATTTGCAGATTAGTGTAGGGGAAAAGCTAAGATACCAAAGAAAGGAAAAACTCTAAGGAAGCCAGCAGAACTTTATAAAGTCTTTTAAAAGAGAGGAGAGAAAAGACTAGTGTATGGAAATATCAAAGCGTCCAGACTTGAGGACCCAAGACTACACGAAAGAAGTGACACAGACATTATTAGCCTGGTGCTCAGCACCAACTTCTCTCAGAGCATTTCCTGACGAGTGAAAGACCCAGGTTTTCAGTTGGTACCCATGGAAAACTATTTTCTAGAACAAGGGGTTGGGGGTGGCAAAGAGATGATGGAGTTTTATAATCTTGAATCCACTTGAATCACCCCATTAGATTTAGGTGACTGGCCACCTGCCAGAATACCTTCTAGAATCCTGTCTAGAGGGAGATCTAGGATAGCTATAATTTTTTCAAACAAAATGTTCATCATTCAATCAAAAGTTACCAAACATACTTAGAAACAGATGATACAAATAAATGCACAGATGATCCACCATTGGAATTATTTGGCACAGACATTTACAGGAACTTTGTTTAACATGTTTAAAAATTTATATTATGGGGAAAAACTATACCAGAGAAATGAAATCTATTAAAAGAAGACCCCCCCCTCCATAAAAAAGAAAAATACATATAATAAATGAGACCAGGAACTAAATAAATCTTTAAAATATATTAATGTGCTGGAAGATAAAATTTTATAGAAAAAAATATTCAATGGCCATCATCCTAAATAAGTCAAAAGGATATCTGGTTTAACTGGTTTTTAAAGGTAAATTTGTTTTCATGCTATTTATTTTAATCAGGTAGCCTGGATCATAGGAAAAATAGCGCTATATAGATCTTGATTTAGAAGACTGACTCAGTTCATAGCTTTTTCTGACTGGAGAAATGAATTTGGTTTATCCAATTAATGACTCTTAAACATGTTTCTCCTTTTTCTAATAGTTTTATTGACATGTAATTCATATATCATACAAGTCATTGGTGTAAACTTATTAAAAGCAGTGGGCAACCCTCAGCACAATCAATTTTAGAACATTTTCTTCATTCTTATACTCATTATTAACTCCCCATTTGCCCCAAAGTCGCCTGCTATAAACCTAAGAAACTCTTAGTCCACTTACTGTCTCTACACATCTACCTAGCCTGGATTCCATATAAGGAAAATCATAAACTGAAACAAAATAATCAACCACAGAAAACCCTCAATTGAAAAAGAAGTAGATAATAATTAAAATTAGAACAAATTTCCCTTCAAAAAAAAGGGAAAACAAATCCCAGGTTTAAAACTTTAAACTAACTACATCTGCATTGATCCACTTTGCAATATACTCTATTAAGGAGCAAAGTATTTATGTCCCTAGTCAATGGTCAGAGGGTATTTACAGGAGGCTTAATACAAGCGGGGACTCTGAAAATTAATTTTGGGCTTTCACTGTCATCTATAGCCTTCTGAAAGACTGTTGACCAGAATTTAAGCTCTAAAACAGTTCCCTCCTCCAATCTTGTGATACCACTGTTTCTAAACATATACTCCACTTAGGTCAATACTCATCAAGGGTTCATGAGGGAGGAGGGAGCGGAGAAAGGGGGAAAAATGAGGACCTGATGCCAGGGTCTTAAGTGGAGAGCAAATGTTTTGAGAATGATGAGGGCAACGAATGTACAAATGTGCTTTACACAATTGATGTATCTATGGATTGTGATGAGTTGTGTGAGCTCCTAATAAAATGATTTTTTTAAAGGAAAAAAATGTTTAATCCATCTAAAATTGTGTTTTATGTGGGGAAGCATTCTTGTCAACTTGTTGCAAGACTTCAATTATTTGGGAAGATGTCTACTCATTTTAAAATTTTATATCAGCCCTGATCTCAAAATCCTTTTTTCCTATGTCACTAAATTTTTTGCTGTTGTTTTGAAGGCACCCTCATGAGATGAAGACACGTGTGTCAGTGAGAGAACATGTCTGCAGTCATCCAACGATTGCAGAGGTATGTTCAAACTGACTCTCTTTGGAATAAGCCCATGCATGTGTGAACTGGAGCCTAACAGCAGTACTTTCTGATTTTCCCTGTTATGTAGACACTTGTGTTAAAAATAGATTAGCCCTTAACCCAACTGATGAAGTATAAAGTAAATACTGTGAAAATTATCTGTTAAAGGCAATATTATATGCATATATTATATATATATAGTTTTGCTACATATATATGTAGTAAAACTGTTACCCTGTCTACAAATATATAAGGAAATGTCCAATTCAAATTAGCTTTCAGAAACAGGATAATTTGGAAATGCTAATGTCCTGGTCCCTAAGAAAATAAGCATTCAGCTTTTCAAATACCATCCAAGAAAAGCAGCATTAAGGAAAAATTGGGGGGTTGGTTGCATGGAAACCATTGTTTCGTTGACACTAGACAAAAGTTGCTAAAGAAAACTGGTAGAGGCCACAGACATATTTCAAAGAGGAAGGAATTAAATGATGAGCACAAACCCCAGCAGTTACAGCGGTTGTATGTAAGAAATTTAACCAAGGGCTCGAGTAGAATGCAAATGTTTTGAGAATGATGATGGCAACAAATATACAAATGTGCTTGACGCAATGGATGTATGTATGGATTGTGATAAAAGTTGTAAGAGCACCCAATAAAATGATTTTTTTTAAAAGAAAAAAGAAATTTAGCTGGGAAGCAAATATAAATGACAGCTTAAACAAAGGAACTGGCAACCATTCATATTATTGGAAGTATTCATTTGTATTTTGTTTTCCTTGGGAAAGATTTTTCAACTATTTCCAGGGAGAGCAAAGGGAATCAGTAAAGATGGAAATACTAAATACATCAAAACAGCTCCGACAGAGGAAGGTACCCCTGAAGGCAGAAGAGAAGTTTAAAGCAATAGGTAATCCTGTCTTCAGATTGTTCTGACCCTAAAGGCAAAATCCGGGGGGTTGTTTCTGTGAGATGGCTCAGCTGGTGCAATCTTAAAACAACCTTGGCCAGGTCCTTCTGAACAAATATCTATATTAACAATAATGGACCCCTGAAAGCCACTTCTAAGGTTGGCCCACCTATTCCAGTTCAAGGACAGACCCGAGGGCCCAAATTAATTCACAGAAAAGTCAGCTTTTGATAACTGAAATATTTTGAAAACCTAAGCTATGGTCAGATGTTCCTAGACAGGTAGGTGTCACCAGTGGAATGATGTTCTCTATGTGGCTTTTTTAATTATTTGCTATAACTATACAGAACAGTCTTCTAATATGTTCAAGCAGCGGGATTCCCTCCTGCTAGTCTTTCCCCTAGAGCGTGAGGGAAAATGGGGAGCAGTAGGGCACTGGGCCTCATATAGGTGGTGGAACTGTGCCTATTGTAGTATGAAAAAATAAAGCATCTTTCCTCCTAAGGCAGAGGGAATGCACATTTAGAGCAAGTGCTGCTCAATATAAATCCTTCTCTATTATGCACTTCTCTGTTTTTCAGTACATGAAAACCATGAAGGGTGAAGCTACAGAGACAATAAGTAGAATAAGGGAGGGTAAGGGGGAACTGATATCAAGGAATACAAGAAGGGAGACAATGTTTGGAAACTGATTGTGGTACTGATTGTACAACACTGCTTGATACGACTGAACTAGGAAATGGTATGATGTCTGGATTAGGTCCTAATAAAATGGTTTGATAGAAAAAATATTAAAATGGTCAGAAAGCATTTGCCACTAGAAATATGAATAGACAACACCTGTGAATACAAGGCAATAATGTAGAAAGCACTAGAAAAAATGACATTGAGAAATAATTGTAAAGCTTAGCACCTACTTAAAAACCACACAACAAACACAAAGACTATATAAAGTTGTTTAATTTTATTAGGTCCTCACAGCAATTTCATTAGGAAATGTTATAGAAATTTTACCTCTACATACACCCACATATATTCTGAAATATTTTCTTACATTAGGTTTTTCTTTTTTTCCTTCTTAGATTTCTCAGTTTCCCTTGTTTCTTCCCAAACACAGATCTGGCAGTTACCATGACTACTCTTGTTTGCTTTTCTTCGTCATTGTCACTAGAGCTGCTAGTAGTCACACCTTCACACGTCACATGATCGTGCTGCACTCTGCTCTGCATATCCGAAGGACTGTTTTTTGACCCTTTAACTGCTTTTCCTCTTTGGATGTTAATTAAAGACATACTTTCAGCATTCTCACTTGAAGATGTATCAGATGATTCTGAGAGGTAGGCTGCCCCCAAAAACCCACCACATTTATTCTCTTCTTTAGAATCAGAAAGCCTCTTTCTTTTCAGGCCTGATGAATCGTTCAGTTTATTTGCTATGTTTCCCTTCTGGGTTTTTCCTTTTACCGTATCACGTAACTCAAATTCTTTCTCCATAGCAACAGAAACTGCTTCAATTTCACTGGCTTCTTCTTCCCGCTCCTTCCTCAGCATACATGTCACAGCTCGGTTGAGCCTACGGCTCTTTATACCCTTAGCATCTTGTTTCTCTTGTTGAGCTATTCTAAAGAAGGTGTCAATCCGAAGCTGTGTCTAAAAAAATAGAATAACAAATGAGACACAGCAAGTATCCGAAACAAATCAAAGCTCTCAGCCTTAATCACTAGCATCTGATTACTATATCAAAGGGTAGGAATTCTTTATCTCTCAAAAGCCACTTTTCTCATAAATGGATTACATTTTAATTTCTGTATCATATTTGACGTAGCACTCACACCAACTTTGGCAACTGTCCATATTTCAAATATGAAATCTCTTACAGGTATTTAAAAAGTGTCAAAAGCCACAGCTACTGCCTTCCTTTAGAGCAACCTAATTCTACAGGGTCTCTTTCTAAACTCAGAAGCTCTGGCAGCATAGTGGTTATGCACTAGACTTCAAACTGCAAGATCAGCAATTCAAAATCACAAGCCACTCCTAGGGAGAAAGGCAGAGCTTTTGACTCCCATAAAGAGTTACAGTGACAGAAACACAAATGGGCAGTTCTACCCTGCCCTGCAGGGTGGCTCTGAGTCTCAGAATCATCTGACACCTGTAGAGTGGCTCTGAGTCTCAGAATCACCTGATGCCTGTAGGGATGCTCTGAGTCTCAGAATCGTCTGATACATGTATGGTGGCTCTGAGTCTCAGAATCGTCTGATACCTGTAGGTTGGCTCTGAGTCTCAGAATCACCTGATGCCTGTAGGGATGCTCTGAGTCTCAGAATCATCTGATACCTGTAGGATGGCTGAGTCTCAGAATCATCTGATACCTGTAGGGTGGCTCTGAGTCTCAGAATCATCTGACACCTGTATGGTGGCTCTGAGTCTCAGAAGCACCTGATACATGTATGGTGGCTCTGAGTCTCAGAATCATCTGATACCTATAGGGATGCTCTGAGTCTCAGAATCATCTGAT